ATCTGTATTGTGCTGCTTTGGGGTGTAAAGCATAATAGAGACACTTCCAGGAATTATTTAAACACGCCTCTTGGTTTTTTATTACTGCACTAATAGATGCCTGTTGGGTTTTGCTCACAGCTGCCCTGTTCACTTGGGATTTCAGATATTGTGCAATAAAAGCTTTGCTAAAAGCTTTGCTAATTTCCCAGTAACGAATTGTAGGAGAGCCAACTTGCTTAAGGGAGAGGTCTGGATTAAATTGTAATTTCATAAGTTCCATGTGGTGGCATGCTTCTTTCCTTCTGTCTTCAGATCTGTGATTCCCCTTTAATATTCAATTTTTGGGGGGGCAGTGAGGCCGATGCGATTATCTTTATTTCTCAGATGAGAAAATTGAGGTTCAGAGTTCAAGTGTCTTGGCAAAGAGTCACACACCTGTTATTGCCCAGGAGTTAAGGGATGACAGAATATTCCTAGGTAGGAGATGACAGGACCTATTTAACGTATCAATTGAGTTTCTAATTAGCCATATCCAGAGACTTAAGATGAGTGGCCTAAAGTCCCTGAATGAAGTTTGCTCTCACACACATGATTCGCATCTTGTTTTCACTATTCGTTTTTCTGAGTAAGTCTTATCTATAGAGATTCTGAAGCTAGGTGGGATCGACACAATCTGATTTTGCAGAGCCAAATTATGATGGAGACGGCAAACTCCTGTATTTTGGAAAGCTAAGTATGGTTTCCACGTGTGCACTTTCCCACCCGTCTTCTCTTAAAGCTGCTGCTAGAGTCACACTTTGCCAGAAATATGTCTGCAAACCTGTTTCCTCTTTGCAGCCTGTGCAAGGGTTTGATTACGCCAAACAGCACCTGGGCCAGCAAGGGGCCGACGAGGAGGTCATCCCCGTGACCCAGGAGACGGTGGTCCTCCCGCTCCCTGTTAGAGATGCTCCTGCCTCGCAGGAAAGGGATGTCGCCCAGGACGGAAGCACCATCAAGACAGCCAAGTCCACCGAAACCAGAAAGAGGTAGGCATGGGCCCAACTTCAGCCTCTCCACGTCAGCAAGAGAAATAATTGATGGTGAGAGAAGCCAAAGACCTCAAGTTAATTCCACTGCTCTCTTTAAAAATTCCCCTTCATGCTCATTTTGAATATTTGAAAAGGGTACTGAAGGAGCTGAGGAGACTCACAATACCTGCCTCTCGAGAACCACTCTTTATAAGTTTTTATATCTCAGATCAGCCACAACAGCAGAGCTTTAGCTCTTACATTTATTATAATAAATTTGGCACTGAGGTCACACTTACAGGTTTAAACTTATCTTAGAAGCAGTTCCTTTGAAACAGCATGTGTAGTTGTATTTTATCTGGCAATTTTTCAGTGGTTTATGATTTTTAGTTCAAAACCATTTATTGAGTTTTTACTGTGAACAGAGTAAGTTGACATGCATTGGGAGTACTACAAAGAAGTTTAAGGTTGATTTCTGACCCCAAGGACCTCATGATGGAGAGAGAGAGCGATAAATAACTCGAATACGAAGCATGATGTGCGGGTGCCCTCAGTGAAGTCTGAACAAAGTGCTTTGGAAAAGAGGCAGGAGAACTTAATTCTGGTGAGGGAGGGCGTCCTGGAGGAGGTTAGGTTTTAGCTGGGCCCTGAAGGGTGATTGGGGTGTCAATAGGTGGGAAGAGATAAAGGCATCCAGTCTGAAAGAGCCGGGAGAGATAAGGGACAGCCATGTTCACTTGATGGTGAGTGTCCCTGGAATTTAGAATTCACAGGGGCTGGGATGTAAAGAAGAATGAAATGAGAAGATACATTAAAGTTGTGGAGGGTTTTAACTTCCAGGCTAAGGAGTTTTACCTTTATGTTCTAGCCAGTGGGCAGCCATTGAAAGTTCTTCAGGAAGATAGTAATGTTCAGCCTGTACTTTGGAAAGATGACTCAGGTGGTAATGTGGAAGACAGGTGGGGAAGTTAGGCTAGAGGCCAGGAGACTCATTATAAGAACTTTGACCACCAAATCACTGGCTTCCCAATCTTGCTACAACAGCTCCTCATTCCTACAAGATCAGTAGTCCATAACCTTTCAGTATGGGCCTTTTAGATGATCCAAAAAGTTTTGCAAGTGAAAAATAGGGGAAACCAGTGATTTGGTGGTCATTAAGATCTCACAATATTCAAAAATTGTTTTAAAATGGAAGGAAAGTGAGCATCCAGCCACTTGCAGGCAACCAAACAGATATTGTGGGTCCTTTCCTTACGGAGGCTCTGATGACACTATTTTGTTGGCCCATGATTGGGATTAATGGGCAAGGGTGGAGAATCAACCATTCACAATGGGCCCTTCAATGCAGTGATTGGCCATAATTGTTCAGCAATTGATTAATCCTCACCCTGAGGTGGTTCTTCCAGTTTTCATGTTCGTTCATATCCTCAGGATGGGGTATGTGCCATTAACTGTGAGCTTTTGAAAACAATCAACAGACATATGTCTTCTCTGTGTGTGTATTTGTACACCCAGCATTCAGCAATCTAAGAGCTGTTGGATAAATAAGATCTGTTCCATAAGTTCATGCCTTATCCATATTTTCCCAAACTATATATATTTGTTAAATATGTGTTTATTGAGTTTTTTAAAAGAAAAGAAGGGAGAGGGAGAGAGAGAAAGAAACATCAATGTGAGAGAGAAACATCGATCGGTTGCATCTGTGTGCCCTGACTGGAGATCAATCCTGCAACCTGGGTATGTGCCCTGACCAGGAGTTGAACTGGTGACCTTTCGGTGCACGAAATGATGCTCAGCCAGATGAGCCACACCAGCCAGGGTCAAACTACATTCTTCATATTACTAGTTTTAAAGGAGTTTAAGAAGTTTTCATGGTTCAAGAGGTCTATAGTGAAATAAACTGGGAAGTATTGAATTAAACAAAACGAGATGAGTCTCTTTATGACAAGACCGATCTGAGCCTTTGATGTGCTCATGTGCGTTAGGAGCATCCAAAGCAGGAATGTAGTAAACAACATTTCCCAAACTTATACTCGTCTGTGGAACTTTGGCAAGAACATCCCACTTGGCGCGTGTGTTCCTCTCTTGGCAAACTGTGTCCTACCCCATGGCTGTGAGTGGGCACTTCCATTGTTCATGAGTTTTAGGGTGCTAAAGTGCATGGAAGTGTATGGAACTAAGAAATCTAAATTCCCAGAGGATGAAGAGGGAGGAGGAGGAGGAGGAGGGAGAGGAGCATCCACTAGGTCAAGGGCTGCGTTTGATTCCAGTCAGTTTCCATTGTAAGGCCCGATGCCATTAGGTTCTGAATCTGGACAATTGACAGTAGATGAACAAGGGGTTTGATGAGGCCTCCAAATATCTGCCCTCTGGTTGTCCCCCACAAAGGGCAAGGCAGTTGGTCTTTGTGCTCAGCCCACCCACAGGTTGGCATGATCAAAGGCCCGAGGGAGCATGAACTCAGCATGAACTCAGTAGGTGGCCTCAAGAGCCCATCTTCCCCCTGGGCCCCAGAAGGCCAGAGTCCAGCCCCTAGGGAAGGTGAGAATGCCCTGTGGCTTACCCTGTCTAAAGGCCTGCCTCAGCCACAGCATTGTAGGAGAGGCGGTAAAGGGAAGGTGCTCCAGCATGTGGGGAAAGCCCCTACCCGCAGGGGAGCTCTGGCTTCCAAAGCCGATTTGCCACCTCTCAACTCTGCCCTGGACAGAATACTTCACCTCCTTGAGCTTCACATTTCTCACTAGCTAAACAGGGGTGACATCACTAAATCTGTGGATTGTCAGAACGATTCGTGAACAGTTTTGAAAGCATTCCTCATTGTCCTTGGCCCATAGTAGGTGCTCCTGATGCGGAGCTCTCGGAGAACATGGCTGGTGTCTGAGTACCTCTCTATACCTGTGTACCTGGCGCAGTGCCCACGACAGAGCTGGTGCACGTAAAGTATTTCCTGAATGAGTGAGTAGCTCAGATTGGTAGTTTCAAATGAAAGTAGTTAGCAGCTGGTACAGTTAAGAACGTGTGTGTGTAAAGAGAATAGCTAAGGAGATCCATGATTGCCCGGCCGGGTGTGGCTCAGCGGTTGAGCGTCGACCTAGGATCCTAGGCGATCGGGGTTCGATTCCCAGTCAGGGCACATGCCTGGGTTGCAGGCTCGATCAATGACTCTCTCATCATTGATGTTTCTATCTCTCTCTCTCCCTCTCCTTTCCTCTCTCTGAAGTCAATAAAGATATATTTAAAAAAAAAAA